TAATACATTTTGATTTGGTTTCTGTTTATGGTGAGAGATAGTGGTCTAGTTTCATTCTTCTGCATACGGATATCCAGTTTTCCCAGCACAATTTATTGAAGAGATTGTCTTTTCCCAATGTATATTATTGGCACCTTTGTCAAAAATGAGTTCATTGTAGGTGTGTGGCCTTGTTTCTGGGTTCTCTATTTTTTCTTTTTTTTTTTGGAGACAGACTCTCACTGTGTCACCCAGGCTAGAGTGCAGTGGCATAATCTTGGCTCCTGCAACCCCTGCCTCCTGGGTTAAAGCAATTTTCATTCCTCAGCCTCTTGAGTTGCTGGGATTACAGGTGTGCAACCACCACGCCAGGCTGATTTTTGTATCTGTAGTAGAGATGGGGTTTCATCATGTTGGCCAGACTGGTCTCTTAACTCGTGGCCTCAAGTAATCCACCTGCCTTTGCTTCCCAAAGGGCTGGGATTACCAGTGTAAGCCACTGCACCTGGCTTCTGGGTTCTGTTTCATTGGTCTATGTGTCTGTTTTTATGCCAGTATCATGCTGTTTTGATTACTAGGATAGCTTTGGCTATTCTGTCTTTTGTGATTCCATCTACATTTTAGGTTTGTTATTTCTACTTCTGTGAAGACCAGCCTGGCCAATATGATGAAACCCCATCTCTGCTAAAAAATACAAAAAATTAGCCAGGAGTGGTGACAAGAGTCTGTCGCCCAGCTACTTGGGAGACTGAGACAGGAGAATTGCTTGAATCCAGGAGGTGGAGATGGCAGTGAGCAGAGATCCCACCCCTGCACTCCAGCCAGGCGGACAGAGCAAGACTCTGTCTCAAAAAAAAAAAAATTAAAAATTAGTTGGGCACAATGGTGGATTACTATAATCACAGCTACTCAGGAGGCTAAGGCAGGTGAATTGTTTGATAAAAAAAAAAAAAAAAAAAAGTGTTCAGTTTTAATAATTGTGTTGGCTTGGTTGTCTGCCTATCTGTAGTCTTTTTAGACTTTTTTTTCTTTTTGTCAAAGGAAAAAGATTTAATAGATTCAAGTTTCACATCATGACAAAAAATTGTGAAATATTTTTTTTTCTTCTTCTTTTTGTATTCTTTATAAATATTGGGTTTACTATAGCTCTGTAGTATAATTTGAAGTCAGGTAATTTGATTCCTCTAGTTTTGTTCTTTTTGCTTATTAGGATAGCTTTGGCTATTCTGTCTGTGATTCCATCTACATTTTAGGTTTGTTATTTCTACTTCTGTGAAGAATGTCATTGGTATTCTGATAGGGATTGCAATGAATCTGTATATTGCTTTGGGTAGGTAGTATGGACATTTTAACAATATGATTCTAATCCATCAACAGGGAATCTCTTTCCATTTTTTGTGTCCTCTAAATTTATTTAATCAATATTTTATAGTTTTTGTTGTAGAGATCCTTCTCTTTTGCTTAATTTTAAGATATTTGTGGCTATTTTAATTGGGATTTGGGATTACTTTTTTATTTTTCAGATTGTTTACTTTTGGTATATAGAAATGCTATGGAGTTTTGTATGTTGATTTTTTTTTTTTTTTGATACAGAATCTTGCACTGTTGCCCAGGCTTGAGTGCAATGGCACGATCTTGTCTCACTGCAACCTCCACCTCCTGGGTTCATGCAATTCTCCTGCCTCAGCCTCCCAAGTAGTTGGGTTTACAGGTGCCCACCACCATACCCAGCTAATTTTTTGTATTTTTAGTTGAGATGCGGTTTCACCATGTTAGCCAGACTGGTCTCGAACTCCTGACCTCGTGATCTCCCCGCCTTGCCTCCCGAAGTGCTGGGATTACAGGAGTGAGCTAATGCACCCAGCCTGTATATAGATTTTTTATCCTGAAACTTTACTGATTTTGTTTATCAGTTCTAATAGTTTTTTTTTTTTTTTTTGGTGGAGTGTATAGGTTTTTCCAAATATAAGATTATAATTATCTGCAAACAAGGATAATTCAATTTCTTCCATTCCAATTTGGATGCCCTTTATTTATTTCTCTTGTCTGATTGCTCTAGCTAGGACTTCCAGTAGTATGCTGAGTAACAGTGGTGAAAGCTGTTAGTGTTGAATGCATTTTTGAAAAGAAAGTAGGCTGAGTTCCCAGAAGAAAAGAGCAGTGATCTGGCCTTAGGCCCCAGAGGTGGTTTTTGGTTTCTAATAAGGGAAAATAAAAAAGCCTATGTTTTCTAGCACAGAATAAAATAAATAATTCAAGGAACACTTGTACTTAATTAGAAAAGAGAGCAAAAAAAATTTTACTTTATTAAAAATAAAATATATAAATATAAAAAGAAACCAAACATAACAGGATTACCTAGTGATGTAATTTCTGTATAGAAAGGGGTATGAGGGAACAATAAGAATTCTGAGTTTAGTCAAGGATCAGATAGAAGTGTGATAGTATCAGAATTCTTAATTATTTTCAGCCTTCAATTTTTGGGAACCTGGGTCAGAAGAGTCTTCTTATCTCTTTCCCTCTCTTTATTTCTTTTCTTTCTTTCCTAGTTTTAGGAATACATACTTTCATGCCATAAATGAAAGAAACACCTAACTGTTGTGACATCAAATATGTTAAATCATCTTCATAAACTTAATTTTAGGATTATCAAAATGCAATGTGTAAATCCTGTTAATAGAGGGGATACCAGCGTGCATGCAGCTCCAAGATTAGCCAGTTGAGATGGTGCGTCAGTAACAGAAAAATCATTTCTATTTTTCGAATAGCTTATGTAATTTTTCAACAGAAGAGTACAGGATTAGAAGGAACCCAAAGGGATGATATGGTCCAGCACCCTGACATCAATAAATGAGTGGTTATTCTTCCTGATATGCTCTTTTCGTAAAATTGTTGCAAAAATGAAAACTGCTTGGCTTCTCTTTTTGCCATTCGATTATTTTAACCATCTGTGGGTCAAGGGGTTATTCTTAATTATTACTATGTTTAGCTTCTTTGTTGAAACAGAGAACAGTTATAGTTAGCATCTTTTAAATTAAATGTTTTTTGAGTACTAGTTCTTTAGTTTCTTGGTACCATATCCTTCAGCTTTCTCTCAAAAGATATTTTCATTCTTATCAATGCTTTTTCTATCATTCTGTGTACTTCCTTAAGTTTATTTTCATTTCTCTAAGAATTGTAAGGTGTACTGGAAGGATTAATTTAGTATTCTCATGCTTTTTATTTGCCTGTCTTCTCTTTGAGAGCAATACACTCCTTTATTTCTAAATACTCGGCATCCGAGCCCTTATCTGGCATGTAGAATATGTTTAATAAATGCTTATTCAATGCGTCAGTGTATATTCTCATTCTTTTTACACATATTGATAGCATGCTAGTTTTCCTTTTTTTATCAGGTAAAGCAAGAAAGAAAGGAAACTGAACCTTAAATTTGTTTAGTGATTTTCTCATGGTCACAGAACCACTACTATTTTGGTGTAGGGATCCGAGGATCTAAACGGAGACTACTTCTATGTTGTGCAGCATTTCCCCACCTTGTATTTCACAGCCAAACTTTTCGACGCTCAAGATGCAATTTCTGAAGTTTAACTGCATTTTCCCCCATGAATGTGTGTTTGTGTGTGTGTATATTTTCAAGCGTCCCATCCCTCACTTTTTGACACTGGAGCTGCTTTCTGCCTCCAATCTCTCCTCTCTGTTTCAGCCTCCATACTACAGCCAGAATCTGCGCTCTAAAATGCAAATATGATCATGTTACTTCCCTATTTAAAAACCCTTCCATGGTTCACTAGTGTCTGGCAGATTAAATTCAAATTCCTTGCTCTGCTAAACAAAGCACTCAAATATCTGGCCCCTTCTACTTCTACACTCTTATCATCATCATAACCTCTCTTGTATTCACTTCGCTGTTGGTATCAAACTTCTCATATAGTTCCCTGCACAAGAGCCTGTTTATTGATCCTTCAGCCTGGACTTAGTTCCCTTACCTGACTCAAAATTCTAGCGCCACCTTTGCTATGAAGTCTCTCTTGACCACACTCGCAGGTAGAGCTGATTGTTTCCACACCCATACAGGCCTGGGTCTTAACTCTGTATCATTGTGTTGCGCTTATTTACAAGTCTTACGTACGCTCCAGTCAGGTTTCTTTATACCCCTAGGTTCTCACTGCTTGGCACAAGTGATGCTCTTTTAAATGGTCAATGAATGAACGTAGTGGAAACAGCTGAAGAAGAGGGAGAAGAACTGGGGACGAAAGGAGAAGCTATGTGGGGAGAATACTAATTGTTCTGCACATGCAAATAATGAGTTGTGAGGGAGGTCAAAGGAAAGACCCCTGCCTTACGGGAACTGAGAGGCAAGGTCCGCATATCAGACAAACGAAGCAATGAGATTATCTGGGTGAAAATAGCTCTTGCACACAGCATCATAGAAACGTAGAGCCTGGGAGAGGCTGAAGAGGAAAGAGGCCTAGTCAAGTGCCTTCTAAGTGTTAGGCGGTTTTCGTGTGTCAGTTTAATCTTTACAACCACCCCACGATGAGGACAGTAGCTCCATTTTAGGGATGAAGAAACATGCTCACAGAATTTAGGTTGCCCAATGTCACAAACTACCATGTGAAAGAACCATAATTAGAATTTAGGTCAACTGCTTCCAGAGCCCTGAGGTTTTCGCTCCACCTCTCTCGGCGGTCCAGAGCCACTGGGCATCGAGTTACCTGCAGGTCGCCCGGCGCTGCCTCTAGTCGCGACGCGCACCACGTTCCGCGCACCCACATCGCCCCCGGCGTGCACGCCCTGCGTCTCTCCCACGGCCAGTGCGCCGGCGCGTCCGGCCCTCCCGCCCGCGGGAGGGGCGGGGCCGCGTCTCTGTCGGTGACCTAGGGGCGCGCGGCCGCGGAGGCGGCGTCCTGGCTTCCGGGCGGGTTGTCAGCGAGTCCGGCGCCGCAGCTACGCTCGCTTAGGTGGTGGGCGGGGAGGGAAGGAAGGGAGCGGGCGCAAGGCTGCGGCGGCGGCGGCGGCGGCGGCGGCAGCGGCAGCGGCGGCGAGGGAGGAACTTGTTGCGCTCGCGGCTGCGCGGTGCCGCTTTCTCCGCTCCAGTTCGCCCTGGCGGGCGCGGTGCTACCAGCAGCGGCGACGGAGACGGCAGAACGCAGCCGGGGCGATGCGGCGCTACCTGCGCATCGTGGTGCTGTGTCTGGCCTGCGGCTTCTGCTCGCTGCTTTACGCTTTCAGCCAGCTCGCTGTGTCCCTTGAGGAAGGAGCGGGCGGCGGTGGCGGGAAGCCGCAGGCCGCAGTGGCTTCCTGGCTAGCGGGCGGCGGACGCAGCACCCTGAGAGGCGCGGGCCCCGTGGCGCATCCCAGCGGGTCGGACAGGTACGGGCAGCTCCCGGTGTGGGGACGCGGAGAGCGCGGGGCGCAGGGCTCGGTCTGGCCTGGGCTACTCGCCGGTGGGTGCCGCGCTTCCCGCGTCTTTCCCGCGTCTTTCCCGCGGTCTCTGATCCTCATTTCTCTCCTTCCCCTCCGGCAGGGGCTAAACCCGCGCTCCTACCGCCTGAGAGCGTCCCACACTTTTTGTGTTTGTCTTTTGACCTAGTCATGCGACCTTTAAAGCAGTTAGAAATTAATTTTCAACTTTTTAAAAAAGAGAGTTCGTTGAAAATAAGAGGTGTCCACAAAAGCCTTACTGCTTCCTGGGTAGTGAGAATTCTCTCTTGTTTTGCTGGAGTTCAAGTTGAGCTATTTAAACAGGCTGGCGCCCTAGTTCAGTGTTTCGGGAGTGTGTGTGTGTGTGTGTGTTTCTCGCATGCTAATTTTTCTGTGTTAAAGCTTACACTTTTTATTATTAGCCACGGTAAAATTTGGAAATAGCATTTGTGTGGGTTGTGAAAAAAAATTTTTTTGGAAACAATTTTTTCGGAAACTTAGAGCAAATTAAGAAAAATGAGCGATACTTGGCGTGCTCAAGTCTGCTATGGAGTGAGATTAGGTATCTTTCTTGACAAATCGGTATTTAAAAAGCGACATAATGACTTAGGTGGATTTGCACAAATCGCTGCTAGAGTTGGAATTAACATGAGGCTTAAATAGGAAAAAAATGTTTCTGTCGACGCATTATTAATGCTTGAAATCTGAGCGTTTGCATTGTCTTGCAACATGGACACTTCCACCTTGTTTGTGGGCACCTCTCTGGGAGAGACCTGAAGTGCTCGCTACCAAGCTTTGGCAAATGCTGGTTTGATATAGAAAAGTATAGGGTTTGTAGGAAGAGGAAGCATGGGTCAGCTGTGGGCTGTTGTTTAACATCATTTTGAGTTGATGATCATTCCCAGAATGAAAAGGGAACGTTTGGGAAGAGGAGCAGCGTGGAAAGCGGACTTATTATGTTTTTACCCTGCCATTTGGTTACAGTTACTGTAATTCCTAAATCAGGACTCTCAGTTATCTGTCGTAGGAGAAAGCAGTCACTGAAGACTTGAATGAGCTTCCTGAAAAACGACAGGTTGAAGCTAAACGGCTTATGGCCTAGTACGTTACTGTGAGGCATTTACAATTATGGAATAGGCATTATTTTTATATTGAGCAGAATTATAAGGAAGCAACATTTTAATTATTGAATGAAATTAGACTGATGTTAGCATTGCATTTTTAGTGCCTTCATCTTAGTTTATTTTGTAACAAAATTTTACAAATTGTGTTTGCTTGGCCAGCTAATTTTAATAAAATTATTTGAAATTTTGAAAATAAGAGCCTCACTTTTAATAAACATCCAATAGAGTCATTGCTGAAAGGTTAAGTTTTATGTGTCAGGACTGAGTCAACTAAAATGCTGTACTTTTTTAGGTCCTTTGAGTGGCATTACTCCTTATTTTAAATGAGGTGTACATCTAAGTTAAAACTAAAGGTGTATCTGTCTTTGTAAAAATGTGATGAACAACATGTCACCACATTTTCGCGCATAAGAAACCATTTGGGCAGAGGAACAACGTAAAAAAGTTGGATTGTCAAGTTTTAACCTATGGTTTGATTAAGGTCAGACAAGTTTCTAAGACCTCAGGGCTCCATTTTACATATCATCATTTATAACATCTTTATCGAAATCTCATAGAGTTAAATCAACTTTTGGCAGGGCATGGCTGTAATCCTAGAATTTGGGGGGGCTGAGTGGGGATGATTGATTTCTTGAGGCCAGGAGTTTGACACCAGCTTGGCCAACAACCCATCTTTACAATATGTATATATATATTTAGCTGAATGTGTTTCCCAGCACTTTGGGAGGCTGAGGTGGGAGGATCACTTGAGCCCAGGAGTGCAAGCCTACAGTGAGTATGATTGTGCCACTGTAATCCAGCCTGGGTGACAGAGCAAGATGCTGTCTCAAAAACAAAAACAAACAAAAAAACTCTTTTGGCCACCATGAGATATGGTATAGAAATCCCTAACCTCTCCATGTATAAATCATTTTGTCAAGATCCCAAAGCTGGTCATTATTGGAGGAGGATTAGAAACTGTATCCTTTGGATTGTTATATAAGAGCTCTTTCTGTAAAGAAAGATAATGGTCTAGTTTAGATAGTGGACTCAGTGGGCAGTGGGGCTGTGGGGGCAAGCCAGCAGCTTCCTCTTTTCAGTAGTACTTAGATATACTGCATTTTTGCCTTTTTTGATACCATCTTACCCGAAAGATTATGACTACTATTTCTCTCTTCTATTTTAAATGTGGGATCTAGGTTTGTACCAAGTGCCATTGGTCAGATCTTATAAAAACTATTCATAGTATAGAATTTCATGGCAACAAAATACTTAGAAAAGTCTTTCTAAGTCCTTGAAGTAAGAACTTTAAAATGAAAGGAACAATTTTTCAGTGAAATGTGTTATCCATTTGTGTATTCTGTTTGAAGCCATGATTTTAGTAATCAGAAAATACGTAGGTTTTGGAATCAGATAAACATGTGTTCTCAGTATTCTGGCTCTGGTTGCTGTGAAACTTTGGCTAAATTGTCTAACTTGCCTGTGTGTTAATTTCTCACCTGTAAAATGTAGGTAATACTTAACTTACATTTTTTTCAGCTTCATTAGGGTATAATTGATAAATAGAAATTGTAGATGTTTAAGGCTTACAATTTGATAGTTTGACATACATATACATTAAGAAATGATCACCACAGTCAAGCTAGTTAACATCATTAATCACCTCACATAGGTTTTTTTTCCTTCTTTTTGTGATGAGAACACTTAAGATTTACTGTCTTAGCACGTTTTAGGTATACAATACAGGTCATTAACTTCAGTCACCAGGCCATACATAAGATTACCTTACTTAATTTGTAATATTAGTTGTCTTTGATGAAGAATAAATTGTCTCAAGCAAAACGTGTATAGGGTTATACAGTTGTTGGAAGGAACAGAATTGGAGGAAAAACTGCAGATATCAGGGCAGCTCAAAGAGCCTTGAGGACTGGGAACTCTTCCACTAAAGACAAAACGTTTTTCCTGGGGTTTTTCTGTTCCTTGTGGGTTTAGTTCTGTAATCTCGAATACAAAATCCTAGGAAAAGGCTCTCATTGGACTTGCTTGGATTGCATGCCCACTTGTGCACCCGTGTTACTTGGGATGGGGAGCTCTGATTGGTTGGCTCTGTGTCACTTGGGCATCTCTGTGGTAAACAGAATAACATGGTTGGTGTTGCAGAGGAGGGGTGCCTCAAAGGAGGAGGAATGCTGGATAAGGAGTGGCTCTTCTACAAGGAGAGACTGACTCTTTTAAGCTCTTTGGTGTGGACAGACTATTAAGTTCTTCAGTGTTCGACAGAGAACAGTAGTTATTACCGGGCATTAGTACTTCATACCACTGTGTTGCATTTTAGTTACTTTTTGCGTTTTAGTTACTCAGGGTGATCAAATTGTCATATTTCACTGATGAGTCCTGACATTGATTATCAAAATTTTACCTGTGGCTATACAGCAGTATTGGTAGTGGGGAGTCAAGAAATTACTAAACATTTCAGTGATACCATTTCTGGATCCATCATGCCCTTTGTGTGTCTCATTGTCACACAGGGAGGTAATTACATCACTTTTTTATTTTAAATCTGGTTAGGCCATAGAGTTGTGATTTCCACTGGATCCTGGGAACGCTAGTGTTATATACTGAGAACTTAAAGAATAGGAAGTAAGGATTTTGTGGTCACAGACTTCAGCTTTGTCACTTACCGACTGTGTTGACCTTGAACTTGTTTTCATCATCGGAAGAGTATGGTATTGAATTGTTTATGAGAATTGAAATTAAATATTATTAAATAGCTGGCATAGAGTACTTAGTATGGTGCCTGACACAACAACATTTTAGCTAAAATTTTGGTAATTTAAATTAAAATTCCCCGCCCCCCTCAGTTTCTGACCTCTGGGAAAAATTCTAGTCCCTGGGCTCCAGTTAAGACCTGTTAAACCAAAATGCCTGCCATTGGGGTCCAGGAATTTATATTGTGATATGTGCTCCAGCTTATTATAAAACCAAAAATTGAGAATAGTTTGGCCACTATTTTTGCACTACTGTTTTTAGTGAAGTTTCCCCCTTTATTCTGCCGTTATGTTTGAAGAGAGTTGAGCCAGTGAACAGTAAAGAGAGTTGAATTACTTACTAACTAATCTCTGCTTTGTTATTGCAAAAATATCTTAAATAAAACCAATACCCTGTACCTTGTATTTTAGGTCATTGAAGATCATAGTGGTATCTATGTTACATATTAGTGAAGTGTTATCATTGTTTGTTTGAGCTGCTGTAACAAAATGCCATAGACTAGGGCACTTAGAAACTACAGAAATTTATTTCTTACAGTTCTGGAGACTAGAAATCCAAGTCAAGGAACTAGCAGATTTGGTATCTGATGAGGACCCATTTCCTGGTTCATAGATGGCGCCTTCTCCCTGTGTTCTCACTTGGTAGAAGAGGCAAGGCAGGCCCCTTTAATAAGGCCCTTCGCTAATCCCATTCATGTAGGCTCTGCCCTCATGACCTAATCACCTACCAAAAGGCCCTGCCTCCTAACATCATGTTGGTAATTAGATTTCAACATACGAATTTTGAGGGGACACAAACATTCAGACCATAGCAAATGCTTAGTGCAAACCTGACATATAGTACTTAATACATACTAGTAATTAATTAAAATAATATCACTCTGTGCTTTTGGAAGGGAAACTTATTTGGCTGATGAAGAAATAGGTACTTTTGATTTAGAAATGTTATTTTTTATTTCTGAGGCAAGGTCTTACTCTGTCACTCAAGCTGGAGTACAGTGGCCTAGATCATGGCTCACAGCAGCCTGGACTTTTTGGGCTCAAGTGATCCTCCCACTTTAGCCTTCTGAGTAGCTGT